CTTATACCGTCCGTTATACATTAAACACGCACGCGAAAAAGTATTCTGCGCTTGCGCAAACGCATATGCGCAGTCGTAAAGGTCTTGCGCGCACGCGTAAATGTTGGAAAATATAGCTTATTTTTAAACCTTTTTATGCATCATCTCTCCTCCTTGAAATGTTTATTTAGTTTAGTCCTTATTTTAATATAATATAGTAGTTACTTCTACTTCTTTTCTTGCTGCCACTGTTTGCATTGAAAACGGACTGTTTCAACCTAATTGAGATGCAAAAACGAAACATGATGTTACGTCATCTGAAAAGCCGATTCGTGCCGATAGCTGATTGGTTGCCGTGAGATGACGTCATTCCTACTTCTGCTAAGTATCTCGCATCGCTCTGGCTCACCTACTATTCAGATGCTGGGCTTGGCAGTCACGGGGGTGACTCCCAGTGATACCACTGTCCAATCTGGTTTTACAGAAGGATGAATTTGAATATTTTGTTTAGCTAATCTGTTGCACTTAGTTGTGATTTGTCTCATTTAGATCGCGATATTAGTTTAATTATTCCAATCTAGAAACCTGTTTCAAAACTTGATATTATTAATATTTCAATATTTCTCATTGTACGCGTAAGCTGGTGACCACCCACGTGACAGGCTCCTGCCAATCATCCCTTACTCCACCTACATTTCCCAAAATTTGAAGTTCGCTAGTTGGCGCGGCGTAAATCGCCTTAATTAAAACTTAAGTACCAACGCCTTAGGGCAATTTACAACAGAGACGGTTAAGTAGCGGTTGGCTACTAATTGCCGCCTAGCCATTGACTCGATTTCGATTTCGAGGGCTCAACCCTTCTAGTCCTGGTTCCCGGCTGGTGGTGAGCGGTTTCTAGCCCCCTTCAAAGGATGCATGCAGTCCGGTGAAAGAATGCCTTGATTCCGGTTTGATGGTTCCAGATTAAAATTCTTCGAGGCTGACCTGTGAGTAAATGCCGTGGGCGGCGTCCATGTTACTTCAATGAGGGCGGAATTAAAAATACGTGAGCGGCGACAACTCCTTGTGCAAACGAAGTTAGGCCACACACAATCATTTCACATTTAAATTTTTCAGGTGTTTTCTTGACCATTGTTTATGGACTTATTGAATGGGTAGCCTGCTTTATTTTTAGGCTGCATGGTCACTATTTAGGACCATCTTCATTTTTTTGTTTTTTGTTTGTATAGAATGCCAGTAGTGTTTTGGAGTACAGGTAAAAATATTTGATGAATGATGATTATGTTGGGTTTTTCCTAATACTCTAATATTGTTGACATTTATTTTATGTGTTTTTATTTTTTATATATTGTTAATAAATTTGGTTAAGTTCAAAATCTTTTATTGTCTTCAATGTCTGCACAACATAACTCAGTGAGCTTTCATTGCTACCACTGCTAAATGTTTAATTTCTTTAAACTTTAAACTTTGCTTTAGCATCAGTAAACGCCTGACGCATGCGCATATAGATTTTAGCTTTGAGGTCCGGATATAGTTTCTGGATTATGGGTGTCTGAATTAACGACTTTTGACTGTACCTTGTGACATTTTCCTTTCACTTGCAAATTTTTATACACTTTTTTCACCTTATTTGGTGACTTTACTTCAGTTTAAGCACTGAAAAGGACTAGTGACAGCACAGGAGGTTCATGCAGTTTGCACAATTCACAGAGAAAGACAGTATAAACAGCGATCACAGAACAAAGCATTGCTTATGGAAAACCTTTAATAAGCAGTGTGGGAAGACTATTTCTTCAATCAGGTGTCTGAACATCCTAACAAGATGAGAATTATAGGGAAACAAGGTGACTAGATATAGCTGTTTTATCTGAATGAGGAAAATGCTGCCAAAACGGTGCGAGTTTATGAGCAAAATAAGCTAACATGAGGCCCATACTTCGTAAAAACTGGGTGTGATTTCTTAAAAAAAATTGAAGAAGCTGTATATATATCTAATAAACTGTAATCCAGATGACCATGTGTTCCTGTTGAAGTTCTTGCAGAACTGCATAATACAAATCAATACAGGTTTACTGCATATGGCAAGAATTGCTACCTGCAGTTTGGATGTACGGAAAATCACAGTCAAGTTTCTGTACTCTTGCTCTGCAGATGTTTTCTTATTGAGTCTAGTGTGTTCAGATATTACGACATGGAGACGAGTAATAGCATATTGACATTGTGAAATTTTTCCTGATCAGCAGGTAGCAATTGAAGCTACCTGTTATCTACCTGGTGGATGAATGAGGTCAATTTCTCCTTACTGGGAACATAAACTCTAAGAACTGCATTCATTACAGTGCATTACACAAAGCTAAAGCAACTGCATGGTGCAGCACTGCAAGCATATTCATTCTTGGTTCGTACTTCTTCAAAGATATCACTTCTACAGGCATGAAAACAAGATCTATCATAAGTGCTTGATATAATATATGATGCTGCAGAATTATAGCAGTGAATGTTGATAGTGACACTGTAAGATATACGATGATGCTACACATTGCCACATGTGTTCGATAAGTATCGAAACAGTACCTTAGAAATAGAGTCATCTCCTGTAACTGAGCAGTTTTATGCCCACCACGATACCCTTCAAAATTGGGACAAAGCTGGCCAAACTCGTAGTGTCACTTATGGGGTGCTCAAGGTCCAAGCCAATTTAAGAGACAGTCTTTCATCTTTGCCACAGGAAAATTCGTGGGCTTGTACTGAATAGGTCAGACAAGTGAGATTAGTAACAAAACAACAAGTCTTTCCACAAAAACACTCATCAGTTTAATTGTTTCATACAAGAAAGGAAAATGCATGAGAAAATAACACTAGTCCACAACCCTTTTATCTATCCTTAAAATATCTTTCTTCAATCCCATTTTTATTTCAAAGCTCTTTTAGAACTTCATCATGAAAGAGCTCTTGTTATATAGACCATTGTTTTAAGTCAGTATGTATAGTAACCATTTTTAAAGCAAATATTTTTCATAGCATATTGTACAGTCAAAAGTCGTTAATCCGGAATGATCTATAATCTAGACCTCAAAGCTACAAACTTTCTGCACATGTGTCAATGCATAATGCGTTCACGCATGCACATAATATGTTTACGCATGCGCATTTAACGTATAATGGACGGTATAAGCTAAGCTAAAATTATCTATTTCAGTTAATGTTGCAGATTGCATTGTCGCGGCGCGCAATGAACTGGAAGTTGATCTGTCAGCACTATCCTTATCTTCAGGGCAGATGTTTTCATTTTATTCAGCTTATAATTCCTTACTAAATGTAGTATTTCATCTCAATGTACTCCGTCTTTGATATGATTTAAATCAAATTCCTCGTCATTATAAATATCACGAATACACATCAAATAGTTTTCTGGTTGCAATTCTCTAATTTCGACTATGCGTAATGTATGCCTTACGCATGCGCACGTTGAAAGAAATGTTTAATAAAGTAAACAAATAAATATTAAGCTTTTTTTTTTTTTTTCCTGTAAATTTTGATACAAAAAATGTGATTTTTTTTTTGTAAATATAGATCATAATTGCTCTTTATTTCATAAATTACGGTTTCATATTTTTAATTTTATAATTTCTGCATGCCATCTTACCAGATTTAAACTGATGATCTATAATCCGTCCGGAATCGCCGAAGTCCCGACGAGTCTGGATTAAAGACTTTTGACTGTATTTACTTGTATTTCCTAGTTTTTTCCGCATATGATTTAAAATTTCTGATTTATGGTAACAATGTAAATGTATGCACAAATAGGAAAGCATTTTGTATGAGTAAAAGAATATTATTGAAATTGTTAAATGCTATGAAATACATAATATAATAATATTAGTGCTTTTTACGGTGCTATGTTTATCATCTAAGCCATTTCTTCAGAAGTATACACTACATATTTCCCCCTTCCTGTTTTCAAGCATTAAAATTAGTAGGAAAAGGATGGGAAATTCTAGAGTAAATTCGGCTTTTATCTTTACCAATTACATGCATGCAAAAAATAATACATAATGTAAGTGTTTAAAATTTTCTTTAGTCTTTTACACATGTTATAAATTTTTTTTGTTTTTTTATTAATAAAATAAGATTAAAATAATAAAAGAAAAATCCAAAAGTTTTCAGATTTTATATTACGCCGAAAGGTGCATCTTTTAATGTTTTGTGCGTTACCTTTTCTTATTAAATATCATATTCTTCGCACTTAAACTATAAAATTCAATTCAACAGCAGTATCACAAAATATTTAAAAGAGTATATTTTTAGAATTTCCAATACACAGGCTTGTGTGCTCATGATAAAAATATCCCCCCATACAGTATTGCCATTGCTTGCTTTGAAATCGTTGAGTTTGTTAATAAAAAATTCTTTAATGTCTGACAAAATATGAAACAGATAATAAAATAAATTCCAAATTAGGGCTTCCAGGTGCCTATATTAGGTGAAGGATTACGTTATTCAAAATTTGATGGCTCTAGGTACAGTTGTTTTATCACAATGCAAGAAACATACATACAATTATGCAGATTCTTCATTTTTTAATTTCTTTAAATATAACACATGGTGATAATATTTGGTGGCAGCAATTTGAAAAGTGAAACAGGACATTTAAAGTTTTTAATGCAAAATGCCAAAATGAAATTAATAGCCATTCTGGGCTAATAAATAGAAAAATTCTATTTTAAGAGCTTTAGACACTGAAGAAAACTACTGTGCAATGTAAAAATTTAAAGAAAATTATATGCAATCATAAGTATTTCATATTTACTCATTACAGAATTTTCTTGTTGCTGTTCCAAAAGAAAGGCATGCTATTTCAGAAAATATTTCAAACAAATCAGAAAGACTCTAATAAAATTAAAATCTATTTGTAATTTGAAGAAAGACACATATAAAAATATAACAAATAATATTTTATGCAGGCTAACTTTCTTTTACACATAAAAAATAATATATAATGTTAATATGATATAAATTTTTCAAAAACTTACCCCAAAAATTTTCTGAACAAACCAACCGTGATATGGTTTTAGTTTTTCTTCATAAGCTTTATTAAAGAATGGGACTAGATTGTCAGAATACTGTTCTTCTTTACTGTCATTTACTAGACAGGTGAGAAAGACATGAACATACTCTAAGGCCCTGAAATATTGTTGGATAACATATACAAATTTTGTTACAAAACTACTAAAAATCGCAAATGTACAAGGTGTGTGACACACACACACACACACAAAAAAAAAAAAAAAAGTACTTATAGAATCAGTTTTCTGCCACATTATCACCTTCAAAGTAGTCCCGCTCAGCATTCACATACTTCTGCATTCGGTGCTGCCATTGCTGGTAATAGTTCTGGAATGAGGTTTGTGGAAGGCTCTTCAGGAGATTCTCCTTTTTTGCCAGAACCTCTTCAGCTGAGGCAATGGGTTCCCTTCAAACAAGATTTAACTTTAGAAAATTAAAAAATGTTGCACAGAGCCAAATCAGGTGAATAAGGAGGATGCCCCATCACAATAATGCTTTTGCTGTTCAAAAATGCTTGACAGATAAGGCCACGTGAGCGGATGCTTTGTCCTGGTGCAACAGTCAACCATCATTCCGCAACTGTCACCTTTTTTTCCTAATTTTTTCAGTCTTTTTAGCACTTCAATGTAGTAGTATTGATCAACAGTCTGCCCACTGAAACCTACTCAATCATTACAAATCCAAACAGTTGTTGCAACTCCTACCTTTTTTTCAAGCTACAGTGTCTCTTTTTTTTGTGTGTGTGTGTGCATATATGTATATGATAAAAATATAAAAGCAAATTTCTAATTTTAATTGGCTACTTCAAATTAGCATTTTTAATTAATATCTCAGCTGATTAAAGTCATACGAAGATGAGAATGGTATCAATGGATTCCGACGAATTTTTGAAATCAGGGGATATGTCTCTCAAAATTTAACTAACCGCCATTCCATAGATATTTGTGAAAACAGAAATCGGCGTGTAGCCAAATCCTTTAATATGGAAAAACCGAACAAAGGAAGTGAAAAAATTGCGTTGAATTTATCGTTTGGAAAAGCTATTATTATCTTGGCTAATTAAAATCATACGAAGATGAGAATGGTTAAAATGGCTTACCAGGAATTTCTGGAATCGAACGGTGTGTTTCACTAAACCCAGATGCGAACGGTTCGAGAGAAGATTATGTAACAAACAGACAGACGTGCATAAATTTTAATATACTAGAATAGAGGGCAAAAGCCCATTTTCATTCGGCGGGATTCAAAATTTGGACCAAACTACCGAGCTGCTCCCACTTTTGTTCAGCGGGATTTGAAAATTGGACTGAACTACCAGTGTTTAGCTATTTTACCCGGGCTGTGCTCGCTGTATTCACGTATGCATCCACAACATACTGCATACGTGTTAAACATGCAGAAAATCACGCAACCACCCATGCAGCCAGACTGTTCGCCGGGATTAGAAAGTTTTAATGAACTACCAGTTTTCAGCGATTTTACTCGGGCTGCATCCGCTTTATTCATGTATGCATCCAAAAGATACTGCATACACATTACACATGTGGAAAATCACGAAATCACCCATGCAACCAGCCCGCTTGCTGGGATTTGAAAGTTGGACTGAGCTACCAGTATTCAGCGATTTTACCCGAGCTGCACCCGCCTAATTCTCGTATACATTCTGTTACAAACAAACAGGCAGACGTGCACAATTTTTAATATACTAGATAACCTCTTTTATTTTTTATTTAATTTGTGCACTTCCTCTCTATGTCTTAAAAATAGTCTAAACTGCGTCACTCAAATTAATCATGCGATCCCATGTAATGCTTAATGCAGATACTTCTTGCCCAATCAAATAATTGTAAACCAAAACTTTTTAAGTCAAACTGAAACTTTTTGACTCCCTCCCTTCTTCCTCTGAATTGCTGCATCACTTTTCGCTTAAATTTTTCTTCTGGCCAGATGCTTAGTGGCTACCTTCTTTGTTCAAGGAATATGTGCTGAGCTAACAAAAATATAAGCCACGTAAGATGCTCATCCGCATGTGAACCAAATCTTGCAAATCCAGAATTGCTTTCCTCAATAATAAAATTATCTTGAATCCAGCCATGACTGTATTGTCAAGTTTCTTCACTAGACATTTATTATGCCACGGCCAAGTTCCAAATCATTCTTATCATGTCATTTAACCTGATCAAAAGTATTGCTTCCCACATAAAGAATACAGCATGTACATATGGGATCAATATAAAATATACATATAAGAATTATAGTTCCTTGACTGTATCAGATTCATATTGTAATTGTATTACCTTCAACTATACGCCATTCTTAGAATATTAAATCATGCATATATAACATCTGTTGTCTGACAGCCACATGAAATCTGCATTATAACTCTACTCGTGTTTCAAGGCAAACATGCCATTTTCCTGAAAACAATGAATTTTTATTTTTAAATAGTATTTGAAACTACAGTGAACAATATAATGTACCAACACATAGTTTAGCATAATAACACATAGTATAATTACATAGCTCTTCTTGAAGTTGATGATGGTAGTCAAAATTAAGCAAATGAACAGAACAATATAATGTACCAACACATAGTTTAGCATAATAACACATAGTATAATTACATAGCTCTTCTTGAAGTTGATGATGGTAGTCTTAAAATTAAGCAAATGAACAATCTTAATCTTGTGTTTGGCATTGATTTCATTGAAACTCTTATCAATTTGGAAGGCAAACACCTCTTCATCAGGAGTAAAAAATTAACATCCTGATGAAGAGGGACCTGCAGCTGTTCATCACCAAATTCATTTTTATTCTTTTCCTTTTGTTAAAAAAATTGCCACATTGCATTATGGTGGTTATACTAATAAATAAGTGAACATGAAAAAATGTCAAACTTGTGACAGTCATTCTAGCAGAAGGTTTATCTTCTTTACATAAACAGATATAAATAATAGATATAGCATATAAAAACTTTATATCGTTTATCGCAATTTTCACCATTGCATTGCTAGTGTTTATCGGTTTTCAAATAAATCGCACATCTTGACTTCCTTGATGCGTGGATCCTGTAACTTAGAATCTACCTTACTGCATACTATCTCGTGAGAGACTGGCCACAAATGATTATAATGTTTTCAAAATGCAATGAAAAAACAGAACTTATATTCTTCTTTACAAAACTTAAACTAACTCACAAAGAATTAAATGGGTTTAAATAAAACCAAGGCAAAATTACGATTGTGTTGTAACATCATGCTTATTCATTTTTCGAGCTAAATCACACTATCTGACAACAATTTATATGTATTAATAATATAACGAGCTCTGGAACAGTATTACAAATCTCTCATCTCTTTAATCTTCTTAGCAACTTTTTTTTTAATTATAAAATATTCCAGTTACTTGAGCTTTCTGGTTAGCCGAATGCCAGATACTCAAGCTTTCACTGCAATACAGAAGCAAGTTATTTCAGTTTACTGTAATCTTCTACATCACTTACTTATTCTTGTCCAGGCTTTCTTATCTTATCTAATCATTATTTCCTATCTTGTTCATTTGCAGTTTTGCAGCTGAGGATGGTGGTTCAGTAAAACCATCGAAACTAGTCCTGTGAAAATTTTGAAAATATAATGCTGATTTTTGTTGTTTGACCTCTGAATTAGTATAAGTGATATCAGTTTAATTTTTTTTTCAATTTATAGAGAGACACTTAAAGTTTTTTTTATTTTTTATAATGGTTTTAAAATAAATATCATTAAGGTGGCCTCCGCTCTGGTCAATGCATTTAGATGTCGTAGGTTTGAAAGTTTCTTTCCAGTTTTACCGGCATATCAACCGGTGTGTTGTCGATAGCAGCTTGAATATTGTTCTTCAGTTGAGCCAGTGTCTTTGGATGTTAGAGATTTGCAAATAGCCCAACATACACAAATAAAAATCACACGGAGCTAAATCAGGCGAGCGTGCTGGCCACTGACGATCGCTACGTAAGAAAATAAGGCATCCAGGGTTAAATGTTCTCGAAAAGCCCCATGGTCCAATGATGCCCATTCTAGATAATGCACACCAAACTGTCACACGTTCTGTATGAAGGGGCTGCTCGTGAAATTCTCGGGGATTCGTGCCACTCCATTATCGCATGTTTTGCTTAATGCATGCTGCAACTGGAAAGATGAAAATGAGCCTCATTGCTAAAGAACACAAGTGCTTCATGAGGCATATTGTCAACAACGGCTTTGCATGCATTTTTTCGTGAAAGAAAATCATGTGGATTAAGTTTTTGCACCACTCCTAATTTATATGGATGAAAATGTAGTACGTTGAAAAGTATGACCCCACAGCGAACGCGCGATCCTCTCTCATCCACTGCATGATTCCTAAATAAAAGACGTCCTTATTGAGGACACAATTAATTTTTACATAAATTTGTGTGATCAGTAATTTGACTGTATATCTGCCTGGCATACATCTCGGAGAAAAACATTGTTGAATTTACACCTACTAATATTTAACTAAAAACCTACACGACACTAAACCTACACGACATAAAATGTTATAAAATGGTACTAAACCTACATGACATAAAATGTTAGATACTGCTCTTTTCAATGAGCGCCACCCCACCACTCTTCTCGGAATAAATGTCGCTTGATGGCACGTGTTTCAAATAAGAAAGTTCCCCTGCCCCACCCTTTATAATGAATAATGATTCACCAAGTTGGCATCAGGGATATAAAATATTAGTAGGTGTAAATTCAACAATGTTTTTCTCCGAGATGTATGCCAGGCAGATATACAGTCAAATTACTGATCACACAAATTTATGTAAAAATTAATTGTGTCCTCAATAAGGAAGTCTTTTATTTAGGAATCGGGACTCTCCACATGTTTATTATGGGAGGAAAAGAATTAAATAAGCATGAATAAAGTATAAAAAAAAAAACTGTTGGTGGCTTTGAGGTCTGGATTTTAGATCAAAATTTTAAAAAGATTTTGATTTTATAGATTTGCTGATTGCAGAGTCTACATTTTTCAAATCTGGAAATTCTGGATTTGAGGAAGTTAAAAATCCAGAATTCTGGCTATAATAGAACCACAATCACGCATGTAATATATAATTTCTATTTAATAATTTCTGAAGTGAATTTTAAGTACCTTCCATGAAAATTCATATAAATTAATTTCCAAGAATTAAGTATTGCAACAAAAAATAAATACCTTTTAAGCCATAGCAAAGCATCTTTCCCTACTTTGAGATCTGTATTGTTCATTTCGTAAGAAATGATGTCACTCAGTGCTAGAAATTTTTCTTCATTACTGTGGTATATTTTGTATAATTTCTAAAATAAATAAAAGTAAGTTTAAAAAGTTATGCACACAGAAAAGAAGATAGAAATTATAAATTAAAGTCGGATCTATATATATGTTTTGTTCAAAATACTGCATGTAAAATTAGAAAAACTTATTCTTGCTAAAATCAACATCTGCGATAAACTATGCACATTCTGACATGCTATACTAAATAGTGATATATATTATTTGTTTTATTTAAAACAAGTATTGCAAGAGGCAAAATTCAACATGAAACATGAGAAAAATTTTTTCAAATTAATAAACTTAACAGGAATATCATAAAACATGCTTAAACCTCGCGTGCAAGACACTTTTGTCTGGTGATTAATTGGTGACAGAAAGGAAAGAAATTTTTAATGTTAAAACAGTAGTATTATACACCATATATAAATTATAAATAAAAATTACTATTGATAGCTAATAATACAATTCAGAATCAAACAAACAAAATCGCTAGTTTAATAAAATTAACTTACTTAGAGAGTATTTATTTCCTAATGCTAATGCAAATAACTGCAACCCTAATTTCAAAAGTATGTATTATGTTAAAAAAATATATCATACATATAATAATTTTAGATTCACATTAAAAAAAGAAAAGTTACTTCTATATTTCCATTAATGTCGCTTTTTACTGGTATAAAAACAGATCCAAGTAAATCTGAAATATAATATTGCATCTTATTAGCTACAAAAATTGTACACTCAAAAAATATATACATAAAATGTAAAATAACATAAATGCACCCCCCCCCAAAAAAAATAAACTTGGCTTTAAGATAGCTATAAATTTTTAATGAATTTAAAGCACTAAATTTACTTACAATAAATAGAAAAGTTACATTACTGCTTTAAAAAAACATAAACTACATTACTTGCATGAAGAATACACAGTGAAATTTCTCAAGATTACATTTCTAGATGAGTTTGATCCTCTATAAGGAAACAGGCACCACCTTATAGAGCAAATGTTTAATAATTACATGGGAGCAACTGCTCAATAATTACATGAGAGAGGTATCTGCCGATTCCTTGTTATCTTGTATTTACTTTAAAATTGATGAACACTAGGAAATTGCATAATTTGCTGAAAGCTAATTCAGAAAAAGAAAAAAAGTGACACAGACCGTTTTCTTTTCCCTTGATATGTTTATGGAGAAATTTTTGTCACAAAATTAGAGAATGTTGTTTCTTTGTTGCCATTAGTAATCATTTCATTTCATCTACTATCAGACCAAAGGTATGGACAAAATGATACTCAATATGTCATGGCGCAGCATAAAAAAATGCTTGGTATAGCTTTAAAACTCTCGCCACAATGGACAAGATATATCGTCTTCCAAGATTATTTGCTATATGGGCTACGCACGAGATAACTCGTCCTTTACCGAATGTTTTTCTATATTGTTGCCAGCATATCCAGTGACTTATCATTTTTTATATACATCCCAGTCCATGTTATGTTTTTATAAATTTCTACAAGATGGCATTACTCGCACAATTTTTAGAGCTCTCGTGCTATTTTCATATCCGAGCAACTCGTTATGTTTATCATTTGTTTTACATTTTTTAAGAAGAAAAATGAATAAATTAAAGCTTCTTTCAATTGATGAACCAATAAAGTATATCAATTTATCTGACAAAGAACTTTGTGATGACATTAATTCAGCCACAGAAAGCAGTTATAAATTTAATGATTGTGTTTCCGATTCAAACACTAAAGATACAAGTCATGACACTGAAGAAATTGCAGGAGATGAAATCAGTATGGAGTCACTTTAGTGTGCCACAGGCTTGAATACTGATGTTGAGAGAATAGAAAGTATTTCAAAAATTAGTGAAAGTGAAACTGATGATTCTGAAATAGTTTCCACATTATATGAACATGTAAAGTTGGTGCAAATTACACTCCAACTAATCATATTATTTTTCACAGTAGCAGTAATACAATGTATCTGACACATGCAGACCTCTCAGCCTCCTTGTGACCAACAGAATTTTTCAGTTATTTCTCACTACCAAAATTATGCAAAACCATTGTATCAGAAATCCACACATCATTGGAAGCCAGCTGATGTTGTAGAAATAGAGAAATTTTTAAGACTTATTTTTGCAATGGGACTCATCAAGAAATCTTGTCTCGAAGATTGTCAAGTGATTCAGTGTTAGCAACACTAATTTTTAGTGACAAAATGACAAGAGACTGATTCAAAACTTACTAGAGTTTTGACGCTTTAGCAATAATGAAGATGCCAGTAGAAATAGTCTTAGATAATTCTTAAACTTAGACAAGAAATACAATTTTTATTATTTTTTATATTTTTAAATCCTTATAGGGATCACTATTTATTATTGTAAGAAAAGATAGGCATGTAAAGGTATTTAATTAAGTAAAATAGTTTGAAAAGAATTTACATTTCATTTTAACTTTAGAGCTAAACTCTTAGTGCAGGGGGTAGGACAAAGGCGTGCCATTGTCATAATGAATGTGTTCATGGGAAAGTACCATTATTTTCATTGATTTGTTACCATAATCGTGAGTATAACCAATCCAAACTGCATATTGTATATTCCAATCTATAACGCGCACCTACAATTTCAAACAACATTTTTTAATTCTTAGGTACATTTGCCGCAAAACATGGACAATTTTCTTTACAAAAAAGCCTGAAAGAAACACCTGCGATGCTCTTACATTCTGAAGTCATTCATTCGAATTTTTTCCAGGTTTCAAATAATGGTACACTGAATTGACAAATGATAAGGGGAACAATATGCGTGTGGGGGAAATGCTCGAGGAAGTAAATAATTCTATGCACTTGAGTTAATTAAGTTGATTAATTAATACATCAACCTGACAAAGTTAATTAACCACATAAGTTAATTAATTAATAAATCAACCTGACAAAAATTTTCAGATAATGCCTATCTTAATGTTGACATATTGAATAATAATGACAATATTAACAATACCCTTCAAGCATATCTTAACCTGCGGCACACGCGCTGGGTATCTCATACCCGGAGGCTATTCTTTGTTCCTTATCTCAAAACCCCTTTTTTGGAAATGGACGAAACCTTTTGTAGCTGTATTCAAAGTCACAATAATGAAGCTGGGAAATCCGTAAAGTGACTTTTCGAATACTTTTCTAGGAATTGTACTGCAGGCGCATAGCCGGGGGGGGTGCCCTTGGGCGCCCGAACACCCTCCTGCTTCATCACTACCTATACTTAAAAAAAGTACTAATTAATTTTCAATAGACAGACTTAAACTTTAAATATGCTTTCCGTCCCAAACATCAGTGAACAAAAATGAACGGAAACCTCTGAGTTTCGTTAGAAGTAAGATCTGGAAAGTCAACCTTTCACAAAAGGGCGGGAAAAGGCTTCAAGTTAGGGAACTTTCAACGCGTAAAGCTTTTGTCTTTTACTGTTTTAATCCCTCGTTCCTCCATTTCCCTCTAGCTATAAGGTTATGTCACTAAGAAACAATAAGCCCTTTCGTTCGGACCAAAGAAAATAAGTTTACAACAAAACAAAAAATGATAAACTGGGGTACTCATTTTGAGATTTTGCTACTTATTTTAAATAGCACAAAAGAGGGAAGGAAAGATAGTAAATTTTTTGATTGATTGTTTTGTTACATTAATTTCGAAATTCAGTTAGTAAGCATACATTTATTTTTTTTTTTTTTTTTTTTAATAATGTAGAGAGCAAGTCACTTTTTATTCAGTGCAGATGAATTTGATTTTATTAGTCATCTAACAATTTAAATTTTTATTTAAAATGATTTTAATAGGGAGCTGTAATATGCAGATAGGTCATTCATGCCAAGTAATTTATTTTTATTACCAGGGCAAATTTCCCTATTATTTAATTTATTTGGTTTGTTTTGTCGTTTCACTTTTCAAACTGTTGCCAGCAAAGATTAGAGCCTTCATTATATTAAGAAATTAAATATGAAGAACTGAATGAATATGCATGTTTGCCGCATGTGAAACACGATACCTAGAGGCATCAATTTTAATAACATAGTCCTTACTCGAATAGCATGGAAAATCACTTTGTAATTTGTATTATACTTTTCTGTTTTATAAAACTTTAACGAATTTTGATTAACAAACCACCCATTTCAAAACGGCAATGGCAACACTGTACGGGAGGGGGAATATCCGAGCGCAAGAGATGTGATCGGAAATTGAAAGGTAGCTCTTTTGTTTATTTGGGTATGCTGTGAATTTAATTTATGGTTTAAGTGCGAAGAACATGATTTTAAATAATAACCACACAATTAAAAAAAAAAAAAACTGCTTCTTTAATAATAATAAAATCGAAAGCTTAGATTTATTTGTGTGCAGCGGCGTTGGGACAAATAACAATAAATTACTGATTAAAAGGAAATATAACACGGAATGAACTAGAATGAAAAATGTACATAGCCCATTATTGTTGTGAAATGTATAAGAGTCTGAACGTGCTAGTCGACATAGGTTAAAATATCAGGAAGAGCTTTATTGTTTCTGTGTATAAGGTAAAAATCCTGTTCCTTAGAAGTCTTCCAAAATAAGATGGCATCCATTCCATAGACAAATACATTGTATGCTTTTCCGTCTGATTTCACACACGTACAACATATTGAAATCATATAATGATAAATTTGATGTAATTTAGATCATTAATCGTCGACATCAGCCGAAACCACGAATCAACACATCCCTTTTTAAGGAAATAATTTATTGGTATGGCGTATTTTCAAAAATCGTGTTCTACACTATCGTTTCTAACTATTACAAAACAAGTATTTTACTTTTGATCATAATCAAAACAAAAAATAACAAAAAAATTAATATAATATAAAGGGTATCACAGTTACCCGAGGAATGCAAAGTATGGTTCATTTACACATATTAGATTCATGGCCTAAAATTTTAAACTACGTTATAATTTTAATTCTATAGTGTAGAACATCGATTTTCAAACTCTAAAACTGCTTGTTTTTTTTTTTTTTTTCAGTTTAAAGCTTGTAAGGATTAATAATTATTAACAGTAAATTTTGAGTAAACTTCTTTCCTGCAATCTAACTTCACTTACCATTCCGGCCAGACGTAGTTTAGAATACGTCTGAAGACCATAATGAGGAGAGTGGTATTAAACGCAAAGTTCACTGTTTAGTGAGAGAGATACCAGATTTCTGGCTGCATGCGTCGCATTTTGAGGCGACTCTTCTCGTAGCTATGATACGCTCAGCCGTACTTTAGGCCTTGATCGTTTCGAACCAATCAGCATAGGGGCCAACTCTGTTAGAATTTGATAGCCGGCATATCTACTTTAGTTCAGATTAGTTTAGTTGATTTCAAGCTCAAGTGTAGGCGTTAGGTACAACTCCCAAATGAGTTCGTGAATCTTATTTGAATAATAAAGAGTCTTTTAACCCTTTCCAAGTTTAATTATTGTCTTACAAACTCAAGCTATTATTCGCTTACTAGTTCTTAAGATTCTTCACTTATAAGAATTACACAGTAGGGAATCCTACAAGTGAAGAGTCAAAAAAACAATGTAATAATAGTTTACTATTTCTTAATTAATTCTTCGAATGAAGAATAAGTTATCATCAAAATCAAATAGTTTTACTGAAAATGTGAATTTCAAACAATGTTCTACGAGCTCCAATTCCAGTGAGAGAGATACTAAGTAT